GGATGGAAATACATTTTGTACTTACTGCAAGAAACAAACATCTGTCATCAGGAGAGTATCTGATGGCTCTATGGACTCTTTTTTTTCCTTTGAGGTTAGTGGGCCTGGGAGCAGGCAGAGTATGTGTCACCTTTGTTACTATAGCATAGAAAGAATTATTGGGATTATATTTGGGGGCTATTGAGAAGCCAAAGATAGCTATAAGCTCTTCTCTGAAACCCGTGTATCATGTTGGCTTCTTTTAATTTTAAGATCATAAGCAGTTAAAACAATTTTTTTTCTTTGATTTTCAGCAGGTCCCCCAAAATAGATTCATGGTGACAAGAAGGTATTTCTATAGAAATTCATTATGTATTTCAGGAGACTGAAGCCTTAAAATACCTGGCTCTTGCCAGAAATTATTAGGGGGTAGTTGCTTTGTAGTCCCTTTGGGAAATAAAATAGGGTGTCCACTTCTCATGAACAGGTGAGAGTGTAGTAGTGGCCTTAGCTTCGAGTTATCACTTCTGGATTCCCAGCTCTCCTGTTGATTGATTTCAGTCTTGTTCAGGTTGCTTAACCTTTCTCTGTCCCATAGTGTTCCACCTATCTTTCCACTTCTAAAAAATTCGCACATTGATATCACTGTTGCTCAGGGTGAGAGAAGCACTATGTATAAAGTGGTTTGAGACCCTACCTGAGGCTTAATTGCCCTGCCTATGGACAGAACATTGCCACGCAGACACATTGATGTGGTGCTAAAACTTCTCTTCTTCATCTGTGGTTTCTGCTGAGGCACAGAAGCCTGGTTTGGGGAGGCTGTTCTCTGATTAAAGCACACAGACAGACAAGTACTATCATTCACCTGCTTTTCTTACCCTCTCAGTGCTGTACATTGGGGATAAACAGGAGGCCTTTGCCTGGATATATTAACCAGATGCTTTGTAATAGTACTAAATAAATTAAACTCTCCGGCAAAAATTTTTTTTGAAAAGGGACAAGCAGTCTTTGTAACTAGCTATTTACACTGAGTCCTCTCTGGGAGTGGAGGCAGAGGGATTGGTGGGGCCTCTGCCAAAATCACCTCACTCCTAAGACCCTTGTTAACATGTTCTTTTCAAATTACTGTGCCAGAAACTACTCTCAGCTTACCTGAAAGGTTGGCATGGGCCACTTTGGCTCCCTCAGTTTTGCACCCCAGGAATGCACTCAGTGAGACTTGTCAAGATGAGATTTCAGGGCCATGAATCAGGAGTTAGAAATGAGAAAAAGACTATTATTATTAGATCATCCTGGTCTTTCCCCACCCCTTTTCTCCTTGGGCCTCTGATCCCCTTGAGTGTATCCTCCAGGGTTTTGCCCAGTCTAGTTTGAAATGACTCAAGAGACTAGGTTTTTCTTACTGTTCTAGATGAGACAATTCCCTAGACTGTCTTATGCCATCCCCGTTCTCCCAGTAGTCAGTATATCTTGATAGGTTTAAAACTATCGCATTGGTGTTTTAAAGACCCTTTTTATTGTTCTAAGCTCCTTTCTGTGGAGTGTCTTCCTTAGATTTGAGATTTTTCATCCAGTTCTAACTTCCTTCTCAATTTTTGGACCAGATGACCAAAGAATCATAGAACTTTTGAGCTAGAAGAGACCTTAGGAATCATCTAACATAACTGCCTTATTTTGTAGATAAGGAAATAGATCCAGAGAGAAGTGATTTGCCTTTGGTGACATAGCTACTGAATGACCAGAATTCAAGAACTTGGTTCTTCTGATTGGAAATCTTATGTTTTTTCCACTATCTTATGCTGATGTTTAAGGTTATTTGGTGTATCATATATCCAAAATATATGTGCATGTCAAATCATACTGTAGAGGGGGGGTGGGGAACTTGTGACCTTGAGGCCTTCCAGGTCCTTGGGTGTAGCCTTTTGACTGAGTCCAAGTTTGCAGAACAAATCCTTTTATTAAGGGGATTTCTTGGCGAAGTTTAGATTCAGTCAAAGGGCCGTACTTGAGGACCTAGAAGGTCACATGAGGCCTCAAGGCCATAGGTTTCCCACCCCTGCTGTAGAGGAGCCCCTGAGGTTTTATATGTGGAGGCTTATTTCTGGTCAGTTTCTATTTAGGATTAAATCTTCAGAACTTGAGGTCAGAGATACAAATTCCATTAACTTGCCTTTTACTAGTTTTCTAACAGTTTGCTCTTACCTGAACATTTCCCCCATCCCCCTCTCTGCCCCCAAGGTAAAGAGCCTCAGAAGAAGCTGTACCATTTGCTGCTTCTTCCTTTTTTTTTTTCTTTTTGGTAAGGTAGTCGGGTTAAGTGACTTGCCCAGGGTCACACTGCTAGTGTCAAGAGTCTGAGGCCGGATTTGAACTCAGGTCCTCCTAACTCCAAGGCCAGAGCTCTGTCCTTTGCCCACCTTGCTACCCCTGTACCATTTGCTTCTATGGGAAAGAATCTTTAAAATATTTTTCAAAAGATTAGCCTCCTGAAATCAAGTTGCCACTTGGGAGCTGTTGCCTGTAAATAAGTGGAAGCATACTAGCCTCTAAGTGTTCCTCACCCCCACCTAAGTGAAAGATTTCTTCTGGGTAGGGAGTTGGTTATAGAAAGGCCAAGGAGCACTCCTATTTTGGAGAAAGAAAGGCTAGTGTCTGTGTCACTTGTGTCTAATCAAGGTGAAGTGGAACTAATAATATAGTTCCCATTTTTAAAGTATTTTCCATATACCAGCCAGTGAGGTAGTCAGTATTTAAATGTCACCCCCCTTTTAAAGATGCAGAAACTGTAGCTCAGAGCAGTAAAATGACTTACTAGGAAGTATACCAAAGTCAGAATTTAAACCTAGAGTTCTTCTGACTAGTCTAGCATGTATCACACTAGACTGCTATCCAGATTTAGAGTCAGAGTAAATGGATTTAAATCCTGGAAGTTACTACCTGTGTGATGTGAGGCAGGTAACTTACTTTGGCCTCAGTTTTCTTATTTGTCAAATAAAGGGGATTGAAACCAGGTGATCCTTGAGGTCCTTTTTGCTTTAGATTCTATGACCTTATTATTTTACCTTGAGTGTAAGTACTCTGTCATCTTGTGAACTCTTTCAACAACTTGCCTCTTCCCCTTCCCCAATTCTTATAGAACAATTGGTTATTACCTATCAGTTAATTCTTACATCCTTGCTAATTCAAGCCCTTAGCATTCAAGTTCCTTATGTAATTTTTCCCTTCCTGGGCATTCTAGTCTTCGTATGATCTTGGGAAGTGCCAAGTGTGCACCTTTCATAGCCAAAATATTCTTCATTTCCTTGGAAAATAGGAAACCCGAGATGTAGAGTGAGTATATGACTTGTTGTTCATCCTTGGAGAGGACCAGTGACATCAGGAGGGTGGTGTCTTGACTTGCAAGTAAATTGGATTTAAGTGAGGCAGGGTTGAGCAAAGTTTCGGAGCTAAGATGCATAGCAGTGAACATCGTTTGCATGGGTAGCTTTGGCCGCAAGTAAGTACTGGACTGGCAGCTCTAAGTGATTTTAATTCATTTCTTTTAAGGCTGAAATGCTCCCATGCTTGCCTGTGCATTACACGGCAACAGTATGAAGCAGCGGCTGTCTTTAGCTCAAATTATGCCAGCCCTGCTAAGGTTTCTTCCATAGTTTCAAATTTACAGGTTTACCCAATCCTGCAACTAGGATGTTAGCTGTGGAGATGGGGAACTTTCTTCAAACAAGATTGGGCAGCTCTGTTTTCCCTGCTAGGAAGCTATGTAATATTGATCATTGGAAGCATGTTTGCTGGGTACTGGGATCAGGGGGACTGTTCTTTTTCACAAGCTTAAGTTGTCAGCTAATGAATTGGCAATGTGCTTGCTGCAGATTCTCCACATGTTGACTTGTACTGAATTGTCCTGTCCCCTAGAGCTGATTTGGCAGCTTCAGTAGGAATGTTGGTTTGGCTTGTGTAGGCAGTTATGGTAAAAGGTTTAAGGGTGTTGAAGTTGATTTTTTTTTTTAGGGATGTAGATCACTAATGGTTGTTTACAGTTTTCATTGAAAGAATTTAAATGTCCCAATACTTTAATCACTTTGGGGCTCAATATGTCCCAGGTGCTAGAGCACCAGTTTCATCTTGGTACCTAATATTTTTACCTAGTCTTACCTGAAGCTACAGAAGTACATTACATTTCATTTTTCTTTTTCACGTATGTTTGACTTCACTATCGGGAGAAATTGAAAAAGAGTCTGTAACATTGGACAGTGCTAACTGCCGTGGACAGCAGGGGAAACCTTCCTGGTGGCTTCTCAGCAACCATTAAAACTATTTTAGCTTGGATTCTGCTCCCTATACATACCTCAGAAGATGTAAAGTGGTGGTGGTGGAAGGAATGGACACCAGGAAGTCTGCCCGTCCTGTATATGGAAATATTCAGTCCAGATGTGTTGGGCTCTCTCTGGGCTTTTCAGAGTATAGAGGTAGCTAGGTGGTGCAATAGAAAGAGCACTGGATCTGGAGTCAGGAAGACCTGAGTTCAAACCCAGCTTTAGACACTAAACTAGCTGTGTGATCCTGAGCAAGTCAAATGCTTAACTTCTGTCTGCTTCAGTTTCCTTATCTGTAAAATTGGGATAATAGTGGCACCACCTTCCAGGGTTGTTACGAGGATCAAATGAGAATATTTGTAAAACACTTCTCAAAATTTAAAGCACTGGGTAAATGCTGGCTATCATCACTTTTTAAGATCCTTCTATAGACAGTCAGTGGTCCTGATCTGAGTCTGAATCTGGGAACCATTATCTCATAGGAACATGTTTCTTTTTTATTACTTTTTCTTTTAAAACTGGACAATTTGGAGAGCTAGGTGGTGCAGTGAATAAAGCTCTGGCCTTGGAGTCAGGAGGACCTGAGTTTAAATCTGGCCTCAGAACTTGACACTTACTGGCTGTGTGACCTTGGGCAAGTCACTTAACCCTAACGGTGTCACCACAAATAAATAAATAAACAAACAAATAAATAAGTAACTGGACAATTCTATTGATTCCTAAACTTTTGGTCTGCCTTCTGAATCCAAAACACATTTGCTGAGACCTATTATTTGTGTACTCCCCTCCTTGATATTGTGAGTGACTCTCAAATTATTTCCATTGCTTAGTACATTAGAATAGGTGCTTCACTAGATAAAGCAGTACTCTCCTTTTTTGCCTAGAGATCAGCCATCTATATAACCCAAAGGCCAGAGAGGTTGTTGATGTTTCATTCTTCCATTACTTTTTGAGAGGGTATTTATTAACTGATATAGTTAATTGTGCTTAGCTTCATGAAGACCATGAAGAGTTCCCAAATCTGGGCTGGGTGAGAAAAAAAAAGGACATTTTGGCAGAGTTGCGGATGGAGGCCCTCTGTGCTGGGAGCTGGTGATCATTTATTATAGCCCTATCGATTTGTCTATTTTGAAGACATGAGTTTACTAATATGTATTATGCTGGCAAGAAGATGGTGGTGAAGGTGGAATGATTAGAAAGGAGTGTTTTAGGCTTCTGATTGAGTTATACTGGTTGCTTTTGAAAGAACACCTTGCTGTTACTGTCCCATTGCTTTTTCTGGCGATAATATTCTGGGGGAATTTGGGGAGAATACTTAAGAGCCAAGAAATTTGCACAGACTGTTTTCTAAATAGAATTTTGAATGTATTGAAGACTCGTTGGATAGATACTGTGCATCTTGGGTGGATCTTCAACAAGCAGATGTAGAATCTTGGGTTTAATGAGTCCCTTGAAGAAAGTACTGCAATCTTGCATGCTGGGAATAAGAGCTAAAGCTCAAGATAGCTCTTAGCAGCTTCCCAGGAATCCTTCTTGTAGGTCAGGAAGCTTTTCCAGGAGGGCTGATATCTAGAGGTTTGATTCATGCCACCAGAAGGAGTTTTTAAATTTGCTTTGAGTTTTTTCTCACCCTGGTTTGCTGATGTATTCCCTTAAATCCACCTTATTCCTATCACCAGATGATTACGATTTCCAGAGACTACCTAAAAATGGTAAGGAAATCAAATGATTGGGGATTGTTCAGAGGGCAGTGGTGGGAATCAATCAGCCCAGTTCCTGTTACCTCACAGACCCAAACTCTAACTACCTAGAGCCTTGGGGAGATTATGGTTATTACTTAGACCTTTGCAAGATCCTGTAACGAGAACAAATTTAAAAGAAAAATGATTGTAAATTTAGCGTGGAGCTTCCTTTTTTTTGAGCTATTATTTTATCATAAACCAAGCTTTGGTGAATGAACCAGAGAACAAAGTAGCTACATTGTCACCGACTTCTTTGGTTCTCTAACATTTTTAGGAATCACCAGAATGTCCTAGCTTCATGTTCCTTTCTCCTGTATCAGGGAAGTAGTGAGGTATAGTGGGGAAGGGAAAGAATACAAGAGTAACTGAGAGCTGTGGTCCTCAGTATTGCAGCACCTCTGACCTGGCCTTTATGTGGCTGCTTATCCACCCTGGAATGTGGAGTACAGACAAGGTATGTCCTGGGGTTGTGCTCTTGATATCCTCGAGGGCAGGGACAGTTTTTGCTCTTTCCTTGTATCTCCAGTGCTTAGTACAGTGCCTGGCACATCATACGTGCTTAATAAATCCTTGTTGATTGATTGATCTGTACAAAACTGGGTTGTCTTTGGAGGTCTAGAAAATGCTTAGTAGGTTAGATTCAGGTTTCCTCTGAGGTTCTTGATTCAGAGAGGGTTCTATTAGGGAACTGAAACAAGATGACCTTGGCACTGCTTGAGTAGACCTGAATGATAAGAGGCAAGCCCCCAGAATGTATCTTTTTTTTTTTTTACCCAGGAATCCAAATCATTTGATTCTTCGTGCTTGTTCAGATCTGGGCACATGCCCAGAGACACGCTGGACTGACCAGCTCAGGGATTGGCATCTAGGTTAGAGGGAGGAGAGTGAGGAGGTGGGTTGGAAGGGTCAGTTAACCACTGTGCTGGGCTTTTAGGTATGAGAAGTTGTCCTATCTACATTTAGTGGAGTAAGAACTGCCAAGAAATATGGTTGGTTCACCATGCGCCCTGTGAGGAGGCTGTACCATGATTCTCTGCCACAGACGCTGGGTGTTTGCTGCCTACATTGTACCTCTGAGAAAGTTTCTAGAATGAAGACATTAATTCTCTTCATAGGTAAACCAGTGAGAACATGTTATACCTGTGTTCTTCGTGAGTATGAGGCTTATGGTTGTGAGTAAGCAAGTTTCTAGAGAACTATACTTGAAGCAGCAGGGGAAACTGGTCCAGTCAGATAACCTTATGCCCCTACTGCCTCGCCTGGCACTTCTCCCACCCTTAAGATGTGATAGCTTTGAAAGCTGTGAAATCTTTTTGTGTATGCCTTTGAGTTTTCAAAAGAGCAGTCTGTAACCAAAGGAAATTGATCCTTGACCTGACTGGTGACGAAGTAGTGCTTGAAATGAGACAGTTCCTCCACAGACACCGGGAGCTGGTTTTAAAACTCTTTTAAGATTAGGGGATGGATTCAGAACCCACTAAAAAGGCAGGGGAGCTAGCAGGAGCCTTCCTTCAGTCAGGCTAGGGTTAGAATCATTATTGAGTGAAGAAGAATGGATTTAATATCTGGCAGATTTTTCTTTGTGGTCACTTCTGTTTTGGCATGCCAGGACATTTGCCTTATGTCTCTGAAAACTTTTCTGGATGACTTTTGGCAGGTGACCACATATATATATGTTGAATGGGAATTGATAACCCCAACCCCAGTAAGTTTATAGTAAGAAGAGATTTTGAGCACTGATTGGTGAGCATGTGAAAACTTATTGCTTGGAATACTTAAATAGTTGGGGCACAGGACATGGCCATAATGTTTAAAGCATCAGGTGGACACTTCTCTGTTAAAGTCTTCTCTGCATCATCATGCCTTGGAAGTGGTCTTAGGTTCTTGAAGCTTATGCCAGTAGAGTACAAGCCTTTGTGGGTCAGCTGAGTTTGGAAAGGTTTTGAATATGGTCCCGGTTAGGAATGATCTTTTGTCCAGCTTAGTGAAATTTAGACAGGCTCATCGTAAGAAGGTTAGTCATTAGGTAAATTTTTTTTTTTCAGCCACAGCTACTCATAAAGACTGTATTCAGGCATGGAAGGTTTGTGATCTGCATCAGGGGATGGAGCACCCACAGTGATGAAATCATGGATCTTTTGAAGTAAGGGCCCTACAGAAAGTTGAAAATGCAGGCAAGATGGAACAGAATGAGATGGAACAGGCTGAATCTTGGGTGAGAACTTGGGGTAAATCTTTGAAGTATCTGATATTTGCCAGAAACTAGACTAGTAGGTAGGATTGGATAACAATTGAGAGCTAAGCTGTTCCCTGGACATTGAATAATTGCAAAAAGTCGGAAACTGGGAGGTGGGAAGGAGAGAAGGCAGATTTTTATTGATTGAAAAAATATTTACATTTTTTTAAAGTGAGGAACTATGGGGCCAGTAACTCGGAGACAATGTGATTTTCCCTGAGAGCAACTAAAAATGGGAAAGTAGAGAAGATCTAAGATGCATACCAAAGCAGCCTTCAACCCTGGAGGAAATTTTGAAAGTAAAAACCAAATGAAGAAAAGGTGCCATTGTCTTAGTGGCTATATAAGGAACTCATTGACTGGCTTAGGTTTTTTAAAAAGACATATACAGAAAGTGGAAGCAAGAGCAGGTAACTGAGAATGCATCCAGAAGTCCTTTTAGAATGTTAAGCATGTGAAAATCCAGAAAGAAGTGAAACTTTCGTTGAATGTAATGATTTCATTGAATGATAAAGAATTGGGTAAAGAAGCAGGTAGGGACCTATGCTGGGGGCAAGAGGAAGATAAGAGAAGGGCTGGGGAGCACTAATCAGGTTAGATGAAATCATGATAACAGGTGATGGAGAGAAGGTAAAACTGTTCAAACCCTTATTTTGTTTTTCTTCTAACAAGGAGAATGAACTTTAGATTAGATGTTATGGGGGGGAAAGTCAACAGGAATTTGAAACTCAGGTTAGGAGTATGGTGAGAGAGCACCTAGATGTTTTTATTGCTACCAGGCACAGATGAACTATGTTCCAGGATACTTAAAAGGACTTGAATATATGATTGAGCTGAAAGTTATCACAGGATTTGAGACAAGCAAAAGTTCTGATATTCAAGGAGGCTGGTGAGTTTATTATTGATTTTTGCCCATATATGTATATTACATAAATTATATAATGCTCATTTATTCAACATAATTCAAATTTTTTTTTTATCATTTTGTGCCTTCATTTCTGAATACATACATTCCTACCAGCAATCCAGATCTCCTAACAAAAAAGAAAAAAGAAAAAGGATAGATTTAGCAAAATTGACATCAGCTAAGTTTGACAGTATGCATGCTGTTCCACACCCATAGTCCTGAATCCCTTTCTAAGAAAAAGGAGACAAATGTGTTTCCTTATCTACAATGCTATTGAAATTCTTGGGAAATTCAGGCACTTCTAGGGCCTAGGGTGTTTTTGTTCACCATTTTACAGAAAAATGTGGGTGATGTGAAAACAAAAGGTACCGATAAAACTAACCTCAGTTCCTTTTTTGACAACAGTTATTAAAAAGGTAGATCAGGGAATGCCATAAATATCATTATATATTTCTATTTCAGCAACACATTTGACTGTCAAATCCAGTACCTTTTCCAATTTTTGGTTTCAAAAGGATGTGACTTTGAATTCCAGTTCTTATTACCTTTGTGATCTTGGGAAAGTCTATTTAACCTCCTAGAGATTCATTTTTCTCATTTATAAAATGAAGGCATTAAAGTAGGTGATCCCCAAAATTCCCTCTGTATTTATATATTATCAAGGTTTTAAAATATCTTTGATGGGGACAGATATGTTCTAGTTGTTAATATAATTAGGTTGATATGGAGCCATTTGAAAGTTTTAGTAAGTTAACCTCATTTACCCAAAGAGTGGTGATGAAAAACAATCTAAAGAGAATTCTTTAGTGGAATACTCTAGGAATTTGTCCTTAGTCCTAATCAACTTATTTGTATTGATGAATTGACCAAAGGCACAGGTAGTACCCTATTTGTGAGTGACACGAAGTTAAAGATAGCTAATGCGTTATACCTTTGAATTAGGATCCAAAGATAGCTTGGTTTAGAATGAAGGGTCAAATATAATAAAATGAAACTTAATAGGGATACCTACGAAATCGTGCACTTGGAGGCCAAAAATCAATTGCACCAAGTACAGTGGTAGATGTGTGGATAGAAACATTTCTTAGTGAAAAACGCCTGCAGCTTATCGTAGACTGCAACTTCAATATGAATAAATAGGGTTACCTGACAACCAAAAATCTAATGGAGTCCTCTGCTGCATTAATAGAGGCTTTGTGTTCCGAATGAAGGAGCCTGTACTGCTGCCATATTCTGCCCTGGTCCTATCACATCTGGAATTAGATTTTCAACTCTCAGTGCCACATTTTAGGGAGAATGTTAGTAAGCTGGAACATTTCCAAAAGGTGTCATCCAAGATTATTGTGAGGGAACTTGAAGCCACATCATACTATGATTAGCTGAAGGAACTGAGAATGTTTGGTCTGGAGAAGTGAATACTTGGCAGGGAGGGAAGAGAACATAATAGCCATCTTCCAGTGAAGGGCTTTCATGTAGGACAGAGATTAAACTTGTTTTATTTGGCCTTAGAAAGCAGAATTAGGAGAAGCAGGTGGAAATCACAGAAAGGCAAGTTTCAGCTCAACATAAGGAAAATTTTCTAATATTTAGAGCTGTCCAAAAGTGGAATGGGCTGCTTCCATAGATAGTGAAATTCCCTTTACTGGAAGTATTTAAGTGTAGGCTGGATGACCTTTTATAAGGGATGCAATAATTGAGGTTCCAGCTCAGATAGGGATTGGGCCCCTGCTGGTTCTTGGATGCTATCAGTGACTAATCAAATGACTGGTTAAGCAGTGTTGCATGGTGACCATAACTAATTGGTTAGGTTACGAAGGAAAGTTCAGAGTAATAACCCAGGCAGAGTTAAAAATGTGTAGTATCAAATCTTTTATTTCTAGGAATGGAATTCAGAATAGGGCACTCTGAGGAAGAGTGGCCCAAGGCGTAGTCTGGCAGCCATAGAAAACCTCCAGATTACTTCTGTAGAGCAGCAGTGCTAATCAACTGGTCAGGATTCTGCAATTCTTCATCCTCCCCTCAGAGCTAGAGACACTTGGGTAGATGTCTGATTTCAGGATATGTCGTCTTCTGGGGAGTTGGGTGCACTTTCTTCCCAGATGAGGTATTAATCTCTCTCTAATGTTCCATGGCATCCTTGCCTACTAACTAGATACCTGGAGGGGCCAGGTAGGGGTAGGAGGGGGAGTGGCATTCTACTCCCACCTGCAGGGAGGGTGCTAACTCTCCTAGATAGGAGAAGCCTTTGTGTCTGAGGGAGAGAGCCCAGCCTTCTCATACTACTGTAGTCACAGAATAGAGGGAACAAGATGGTGCATTTCAATGTGACAGGCACAGCTGTCACAGAATATCTTGAGGAAGACCAGATACCGACCCCCCCCCCCATTCCCAACTGCCTCGTTGGTATTTGATCACAGGCATGTGCCTTCGGCTCCTTGCTGATTAAACCTAGCCTGCCCTTTTGAAATGAGGTTTCAGTTCTAAAGCCAGGCCATTGTGAAAAGAATCAAACCAGCAACTTAAGAACCTTCATGGTACAGAACTTCATTTCCTCATCCATTGCCTTAGGAATATTCCAAATCTTCTTACTTGTTCCAGAGTTAAACGAGTGATTCTTGCCCTTGGAGAGGTAATAGTCTAAAGTGGATGGTATTTATATGTTTGTCACATGAAATAGAGATTGTAATGTTTATATGCACACGTCATACACACGTTTTTGACATGCCTCTGTATACACTCAAAAGGGAGAGATTTCTATTAGACATAATGATAGCCACATGACAGTGCTCGCCAGTTTAAGGAGCCAGCTGATACTCTTAATGTCTGCTTTCCTGGTTTTGACCTCTGTAATTTTGGATGGAGTTGCCCATCTTCTCTCCCTTATCCCTTATTTTTTCCTCATCTGTAAAATGAGGGAGTTGGACCAGATAATCTCTAAGGTCCCACCCATATAGTCCTATGATCCTTCTCCTATAGCATTTTGGGAAAAATATCTGATCAAAAAGCCCATTTCCTGAAAAATCTCCCATTCAGCTTCTTGAGAGTGCCTCTATTGCAGTGGGAATGAAAACACCTTTCTCTCTGTGTGCTTCAGCTTCATCGTTGGCCTCTTTTCCTCCCCTTCCAGCTCAGGAGAGCACCGTGTGTTTCGATGCAGCCTCTTAATGTTGCTGCCAATTGTCCAGGAGTTCCCTGCCCTCGGCAGACAATGGGGGACCTTTCTCTGGTCTAGCACTTGTGCTCTCCATGGCTGTCACACTCAGTGACTGTTGGAGCTGCCACCTGCCACTCAGGGAACGAACAAACCTTCAGGACCCAGGTTTATTGTGTGAGAGCAATGAAAGAGCAGTGAAGGGAGCTGAGATTTGCTTCCCATGGCACACATCTGGTGAGAGAGAATCCTGGCAGGAGGAGGGCTCTCTGCTGGGGGCAGCAGGGGCCCCTGTGTTGTGGGCTTTGGAGCTCTGTGCTCAGTGGAGGGAAGATGGGGGATGGGGAGGCAGGGTTGGTGGGAAGGATGTAGCAAATCAGAGGGTGCCTGAAGCAGGGCCTGGGTTAAGGAGAGGGATGGTAGAGGGAGAAATCCTTTCCTGGATTGAGGCAGCGCAGCTTCCTAGCCTTTGTGTTTCTGCTGTTCTCTCCTAAATAGCTGGGACCTTCAAGTCAAATTCCCATGGGATGACATTCTGTGTGTCCTGAAACCAAGGTGAGCGTTATAGGGAATGTGATGTAGGAATTGTCTCGGGCTCTTCCTCTTGGGCACCTAGTTATTGAGGAATATCAGAACCAGTCACTTCCAGTATGATAACTAAAAGCGGCACAACTCAATGCTTGGCAGGGTCGAGGAGAAAATGGTAACCACATACCTATAACTGGAATTGCAGATTGTTAGAATTCTTTTTGGAATGCAGTCTGACAACACAGTCACCAAAATAATCATGTCCTTTGATCCAATAATCCTGTTATTGGGTATGTACCCTCTGAGTGTTACGAAGAGGGAAAAAAAAGATTCAGTTAAACACATAGAGCAATATTATTTGTGATTGCAGAGAACTGGAACAACCTAAGTGTCCAACAGTGAATGGCTGAATAACAGTAGTAGATTAATGTAATGGAAGACTACAATTCCATTTAAAATGAATATATATAAAGAAAAACTGGAATGAAGTAGTATAAACTGATGTGAAGAGAAGTAGAACCATAAGAAACTATATCCATTTACTTTAGAGAGGTAGCATGGTACATAGTAGAAAGGATACTTCGCTGGCTTTGGAGTCAGTAGACCTGGGTTTGAGTCCTGGTTCTTCTGCTTACTAGCTGGTGAGTCACTTAACTTTTGGGCAGGTGTTTTTTTTCAATCATTAAAATGGAAATAATAATACTTAAACCACCGACTTTACAGAGTTGTCATGAGGAAAGTGCTTTGGAAGCCCTAAAGTACTGTATAAATGTAAGCTGCTTTTATAAAAGAAAAAATAGATGCCTAAATGCAAAGATCAATAGGAGATACAGAAGAGTAGCTAATATGTTGTTGTGGAATACTGTATGTAGAAATTCATTTTTAAAAGTGTGAATACCTGTAAAAGTTTGCTTCATCAGTTTTCATTTTGAAGTGATGTGTATAATTATTTTTAAAAGAAAGCTTCCAATTGCTGCCCTCAAGGTAAACTGGATTTCCAATGGACTAGTGATGAGGTTGGATGGTTAATGATTATCGTATGGGAGGTAGCAGGGCCAAGGTCAGCTCCATGCCTGTGCCTGCTACCTTATATCTATGAGGTCCAAATGACTCAGTGTCTTTGGTAGGACGAAAGGAATACTCACTGCATTTAAACTCCCTTGTCCTGGGTTCAGGTCTCAGCTCTGCTGCTAGTATGACCTTGGGCAAGTGATATGACCTATCTGAGCCCCTTGTTTTCCTCACCTTTCAGTTGAGTGTGTTAGGCTAGATGACCTTTAATGACCCTTCTAGCACTAAATTCTATGCGTCTGTGAAGTTCCCAGTTGTTCTCATTGGATACAGCTCTTGTGAATGCCCTTTAGAGTTTCCATGGGACGCACTGTTCTCCATTGCTGAGTTCTAGACATGTTATTTTGCAGCAACTACTAAACAGCTGCTTAGCTTCCCAAAAGGAATTCTATGCAGAGACTCCATGAGCAGCAATTATGGAAGTGTCGAACATCACATTTCTATCACTTGAACTCCTACAAGTGTCTCTCTTCTGAGCATCCAATGCAACGTGAGATATTTTGTTATACTTTTGGAACTAGTTAGAGGTGTCTTCCCCCCCCCCCCCTTAATAAGCTACCCAGGCAATAAATCGCAGGCTGAGTGCCAGTATAACTATACATTGCAGATTAAAACAAAACAAAAAATAACTTAATGCAAAAATTCTGTATCTGGGGCCAATTTGAGGAGTTGATGTAATGCTGGGAGTATTGCATTTCCTGTACTAGGTTTCTTCTGGAGAAGTTGATACTTTTATCACTGCAGTGATTGGATTCCTTGTAGGTGTCTAGTATTCTGGAGCAAGATAGTTTTAGGAAGGGGCTCTCAGTGCTGTGCTGAATAGAACATGGAGAGTTTTGTCTCTTGAGTTGGGTTTATAGTTAAAATACTGGGTTGCCATCATGTCCCCTCTTCCCTCCTACCCCTTCCAGTTTGGATTGGTTAGATCCATACAGCTAGAATGCTAGGATGATCCAAGTACGATTATATTGGTCCCTCCCAAACCTATATTCTCCCCCAAAGAACTGGATTGACTTTCTACTGGATATGGTTTTGGTTTTTATTTTTGCTTTAGTCACATGCTGATTCCTATATAGACTGCCTAGGCAACTGGGTAAATAAGGAGCTTTAGTTAGACCTGATCATTTCTCTTTTTACTGGAATTTCCCAATTTCTCAGCAATCCTTACCTGACTGCTTGGTCCCCAGTAGATGTCTTCCCTCTCCCTCCCTCCAGCCTCACCCCCTGAGGAACCTTGTTTGTGTCTGTCATGCAGATTCTCCCAACTTCTGATGAGTCAGTGCAGACTTGCTGCCTGTTGTGCCACCGGGAGCGCAAGGACTGGGGAGGCCCTTCCCACAATGGGCTGGTCTCCTCTGGGGAGAGACTCCCACCTGACTTTGTGCCAACCATCGTTCAGAACCTGTTGGGAGAGATGCCTCTATGGATCTGCCAGAGCTGCCGAAAGAGTGTGGAGGATGAGGAAAGGAAGGCCCTTCAAGAACAGTCCCTGGCGGTAGGTACACTGTGTCCCACGATTACAGAGAAGGTGCCCGTAAACCAGAATTTGTCCAAGTCTCAAAATGTGTGGGGGAAGATGTTGGAGATGCCTCAGAAAAGATCCTGTAGTTTCTGTTCTGAGGGGATATATGTCTCCTTATATATCCCCTCAGGTGACTTCTGTTGGATGACTCCACTGACCCATGCACCGAGAGGCTGGAGTCACTGTTTTGAGGTGGCAGCAAAACTCTGGAATCAGGTTTTGGAAAGAGGAGAGAGGACTAGGTGGCCTGTTACTCCCTTGGAACAGTCTGTGAGAGCAGCCTGAAGGGCACGGCTGCATGGATGGTAGCAACCCTGGCCCCGTAGCTGCTATTTCGCAGACTATTAGAGCTGGAAGGGCCCTTACCAGGTCATCTAGACCTCATTTTACAGAGGAGGATACTGAGTCTTATAGAGGTATGACTTGTGACTTGTCCAAGTGACTTGTCCAAGGTCACACAAATAGTAAGTGGCAAAATTGGAACTCAAAACTAGGTCTTCTGAGACTTTTGACTCAAGTCCAGTGCTCTTTCCACTGTACCATGCTTCCTCCCTATTTTTTCTGCTCAGTTCTGTAGCATCATGAAAGGCAACCAGTACCCTATGGAGGCCTGAGGACCAGTTTTGAAGGCTTGGAATTAGCCATATTAACAAGTTTCAAAGGACCAGCCCCATAAAAATATATAAAACAAAATCAAGCATGTGCCATTGGGGGCCTCTTTGTTATAAAGCTTGGTGATCTGGCTCTTGCCATACTGATACTCAAATCTGGTTTACCTCTCCCTTCCCTCCCTCCAAATTTTCTACCATTACCAGGCATTGTTTAGTTTTAGAGTGAGTGCCTGATCTGCCTGTCAGTCCTTTTGGCCAGCCCATTAATCCTGACTGTTCCCTCAAGGGCACTTGTCTTTCTGGGGCTGGGTTGCTCTCTAAGTGGTCTCTGTTTCCTTTTCTCCAAGATTCTGGCCTTCTTTGACTTCTAGCTCAGCTTTCTGTCTGCCTCTCAGGCCCAGCTTTATTTCTGCAGCAGGGCAGTGGGATGTTGATTTTCTTTGTTTCTTAGGATCATGGTGGATGTTGCTTGGGCCGTGGCAGAACGTTCCTGCAGGAGGGCCTCCTTTCCTGAGAGACTGAAAGCAGAGGGAGCTGTTGCAGGAAGGAAGGTGCTCTGTGTTGATCATTTTTTTCCCCTTCCTCCAGGTCTCATTATCACACACGTCCTGCAAGTCACAGTCTTGTGGGGGTGGCTCCCACTCCTCTTCCTCTTCTTCTTCCTCGTCATCATCGTCCTCCTCCTCATGCCATGGGAACTCAGGGGACTGGGATCCCAGCTCGTTCCTGTCTGCACACAAACTCTCAGGCCTCTGGAGCTCCCAGCAGGCTGGCGGTACCATGCAGGGCCCCTCGACTGGGGGCCCTCCTGCTGCACCTGGTGAGTCTCAAGCTCACCAGAGCCCTCTCCCTCTAATTGGACAGCCAGGCCCTTTGCCCTCTTCTAAAGGAATAATTGATAGACAAGCCGTGAAGTTTCTAGGTCCTGGCTAGGGAGACTCACCTACGTTATATCAAATATGCCTTATGTCAGATCACTGTTAACAGCTGCACATTAATGTCCAAATGGGAAAAGGAATTGGTGCAGGGGATATCCACCAGGAAACCAAGAGGGAGATCCCTGGAGATCTAACACCAGTATCGCCACACACTGCCTTGTTGAACTGAACAAAGGCTATGCTTTCCTTAACTTCATTTTTCCCTACCTACAAAATGGGCATAGCGGCATTCTCTTCCCTCCCAAAGGAGATCAGTAGATCACATGGGCATTTTGGGGCTGGTCTTATTGTTAAGGTATTTGGGGGTTGGAAAATTCTTTTTAGACTGAGACAATACCATAAGGCCTAGAAAAAGCATACCTTGGATCTGAACTGAGAAGCTGAGCTCAGCACAACAGTGTTGTGCTGAGAGTCCTTGGGAGCCAGGCTATACTTTGTTCATATTTATTTTTGTGCAGAATGCCCACTAAGTATTCTGGGCTTTTCCTATCTCTCAGAGAGTTGGAGGTGGCCTGCTTTGAGCTGGGAGAGTCAACCTATGAGGTGCCTGAGAAAGCCCCTTAAACTGCAGAGGAGAAATCCTCCTTTCCCTCTGCCTTTATTTCAGGTAACAAATATTCCAGTCTCACCCCTCTCCACTCCCCATCTCCAGATTACATCACCCCACTTTGGGGGCCCCTGGCCAGAAGACCTGCCCCTACAGCCAGGTGCTGTCCTCTCTGGTGGTTTCCAGTGGGGTCCTGCCAGGCTTCTCTGCCTGCCTCACTCAAGTTCTGCAAAACACTTCCCAAGCAGTTCAAGACCATATTCAGAAGACCCATTCCACCAGGTCTGTACCTGCTGCCCAGATGTACCAGAGGAGCAGGGCCCAGGGTGCCTAGCAATAACTGCCCTGGTGGAAGTAGAAATATTTCTGTTTCTGTGCCTCTTGCTGCTACCTCTGGGCTGGACTTGGTCCCTTTGGCTTGGGGATTGAGGCTTGCTCCTCACTAATAGTCCCTCTTCCTTGTTTGTGGCTTTTTTTTTTTTGAGCCTTTCCAGTTAGGAGATGGTGGAATTGGAACCTCTTTTCTCCACTTTGGATCGTATGAGCTTCCCTTGGAGCCCTAGGCATGGTTTAATCCCTGCTGTTTTATTGGTTCCTGATGCAAGGGAAGATGATGTCTTTGCTCCTCTCCTTCTAGTCATACAGGAAGGGATGGTGGTAGTATTGACTTCTGAGGTCCCCTAGCCTGAGAGGAGCTCCTCTGGTGCATTCAGCCATCTTTCCAAGAATGAGGCACATTCCAGACTTCCTGTAGCCAGCTCAGATGCTGAACTTCATTTCACAGCAAGGCATCCATAACCCTCTTCTGGCATTCTTTTTATTTGTTGAATTGTCTTGGGACCACAGTGCTTGGAAGTCAGTCCCTCTTAAAACATCTTCTTGCTGGAGGGATCCCACGGAATTTCTTATCTCTGATTTCTCTGCCCACTGGTAGCAATACAACCTTTCTGATCTCCTGTTCAAAGAGACACATCCCAGGACTTGTAAAACCTTGTAGATGGATTAGTTCTCTGCCCTTATTTAAGACTGTTTCTGTCCTGAAGCTTAATCACCCTCAAGAAGATGATGCTTCCAGCTCCTGCAATGAGAATTCTTGGATGAAGCCTTGGAAGCTTTAAAAGATCATAGACTGGTTTTTCTTCTGTTTAGGACTTTTTAAAAAATCAGTGAAATTCATAGCATATTCAGATAGTAGCACCCTTCAGGATGGAATTGACCAAGGATATTTTTAGAGCCCACCAGTATGAATAGGGCATTCTAGGTTCTTTCTCCTTTGATCACAGAGCTGCTTGGCTTGCTCCTCGGCAGAACATCATTATAAAGATTCATGCTCAGCTCCAGAGCCTAGTCTTTTTTTCGCTCCAAGTTTGGGAGAATGTGGAAGGGCTTTGACTATATCCAGGACTTAGCCTCCTTCCATAAACTTGGCATTGATCCTCTGTGTGCCTACCTAGGGATACAGTTTATTCTACAAAAGTGAAAATGATCATTTATGCATTCCTTTCCCTTCCTCCCTTTCTGGAGGTGACTGGCTTCCTTTCTCCTGACCTTCCTTGATACTTCTTCACTCCTATCTGCTTGCAGGTGAGGCCTTCCACTCCTCTGAACATCACCGGCACTCAGACCTCACCGCCCCCCCCAACAGTCCCACTGGCCATCCCCAACCACCAGCATCACTGATCCCTGCTCACTCAGGACCCTTTGGATCTCCACCCCATGCCCACCTAACCCCTGCTGCCCAGGCAGCATCTTTCCCCACACCTGTCCCCAACGATCATGCTCCAGTGCCCAAGACACCTTCTGAGTCACCTGCCGCTGCTGCTGCTGCCATTGCTGCCCCACATAGCCCAGCACCATGTAAGAGCCCTCACCTATCCTCTGCCAACATGCCGCTTCTGAAGATGCCTCCTCCACTCTCAGGGTGTAATCACCCCTGCAACGGGCACTGCACTGGGTCTCTGGTCCCTCAAGCTGCCTCACATCAGCTTCCCAGCACTAACAGGTCAGTATATAGAAGTATTGGTAGACTTGCAGTGGATGGGGCTGTGAAAGTCAAGGAATGTGGAAACAACCCAAGGAATGTGGGGGGAAATTGGGGGGTGGTATTCTTTACAGGAAGCAAGAAGTAGAAAATCAGAGGTGACTAGTATAAATTCTGAGATATAGTCAAGATTCTCAGAACTTTCCTTCCCCCAACCTAGCTGTTAGCAGTATCCTGTTCTTTCTCTCTTTCATGGCAGGGATTAAAGTTCAAATTGGTAATTTTTGATATACAGAGGACTGTTTATTGGGACCCTATTTTCAGTTTGTTGATCTGTTACCTAAACCTCAGCCTTTGGCCCTGGCCTCTGTGTGAAATAATAGTTGTAAATTACTGTAAAGCGCAGTGTTTCGTACATGGTAAATGCTGTATCAGTGTTAGCTATTACTATAGCTATTGCTTGAGAAGTGAGTACCAAAGCTAACTTTCTTTCCCTCTCCTTCCTAGCCTGAGTTCTCTATGGCCCTTTCTGGTTTTGTCTATCCTGAGACATCCTAAATATGTCACTAGTGCCTAGGAAAATCCAGAGAAGCTGCTTCAGCTCTCTGACTCACTTGGGCTGGAGGGTGGGCTCTTCTAAGTTCTGATAACCCAATAGCAGGGTAGACCCCCAGACTTAAGGTAGCAGGGGTATTAGGCAGCGAAATATTACTTAATGGGTTGTTCTTGGCTATGACATGGAAGTGCCTCTCTTTGCCTTGCCATGGCTTCTGCTAACACATTCGCACTGCTTGTTTTGCTATCCGCAGAGACCCTGGATGCAAGGGGCACAAGTTTACAAATGGTACTGGCTGCCACCCACCACAGTCATGTGATGCAGATGAGGGGCTGGGAGAGGATGAGGACAGCAGTTCAGAGCGAAGCTCCTGCGCCTCATCCTCCACCACTCAGAAAGATGGGAAATTCTGTGATTGCTGCTACTGCGAGTTCTTTGGACACAACGCGGTGAGTGAGTCCTCGGAGACCAACAGGAGACAGGGAGAGGGGGCACTTTAGTTAGCTGAGTCCTCTGCGTGGCTCTCTTCCCCCTGAGCTGTGCTATTCTGTGAAAGCTTTGGATTGCCCCAGCCAGACTCAGGGCCTAAGCTGAGTTCAGTGGAGTCTGCTGAGGGGAGAAGCTGATCTCTGAGCAGAGGCAGGATTGGCGCCACTTGGCCCTTGCTTCTAGTTCTGGAAAGAAGAATGTTCTTATGTCTCACTACACAGCCTGCATTGGGGGCTGGAAAGGTGTGGGCTTCCCAAGCTCGGAGTCTAACATCAGGACGCCCCTCTTCCAGCCCCCCGCTGCCCCGACAAGTCGCAACTATGCTGAGATCCGAGAGAAGCTGCGCTCACGGCTGACGAAGAGGAAAGAGGAGCTGCCCCAGAAGATGGGTCTGGCAGGAAGTGGCCCAGGTGAGCCAGCTGTGGACCATCGGGATGTGGATGAACTGCTGGACTACATCAACAGTACTGAACCCAAACCCCTCAACAGTGCCAAGGCAGCCAAGCGAGCCCGTCACAAACTGAAGAAGAAGGTAGGTTGGAAAGGATTAGCTTCTGCCATGTCCTCCCTTTTGAGAAATATTCAAATACTTTTTTATGGATTGCCTCAGCCTGGGGTGGGCTCAACTTATTTCATTTCTGTTTCTAAAACATTTATTAAATACCAACTTGTGCAAGGCCATGTAATAAGTACTGGAGACAGGAGGATAGATAAGACACAGACCCTCCTCTCAAGGAGCTGAGCCATAAGGATGGGGGTGGGATGGGGGGAATTCAATTAATTAATTAAACAAATAATTATGACATAAGAGAGGGGTGGGTAAGTGCAAAAGGAGAGGTCCCTGTAAAGTTCTAGGATAAATTTGAGGAGAGAGGTCACCTTCATATTAAATATATTTTCACATTAGTCATGATATAGTGAAGAATTAGAACCAATGGGAGGAACCAAGAGTAAGAAGAAACAAAACAAAACAACAAAAGAAAAGGAGAGCAAATAGTATGCTTCCGTCTCCATTCAGAATCCTACGTTCTTTCTCTAGATGTGGATAGCATTTGCCATCATGAGTCCTTTAGAGTTGTCTTAGATCCGTGCTTGCTCAGAAGAGCTAAGTCTATCAAAGTCAGTTGTCACACAGTGTGGCTGTTACTATGTACAGTGTTCGCCTGGTTCTGCTCATTTCACTGAGCATCAGTTCATATAAATCTCTCCAGGTTTTTCTGAAGTCCACTTGCTCATCATTTTTTATAGCACAGTAGTGTTCCATTACATTTATATACCACAATTTGTTCAGCCATTCCCCAATTGATGGGCATCCTCTCAATTTCCAATTCTTTGCCACCACAGAAAGAGCTGCTATAAATATTTTTGTACATGTGGGTGCTTTTCCCATTTTGATGATCTCTTTGGGATACAGCCCTAGAAGAACTATTGCTGGGTCAAAGGGTATACACAATTTTATAGCCCTTTGGGCATAGTTCTAAATTGCACTTCAGAATGGTTGGATCAATTCACAACTCCACCAACAATGCATTAGTGTTCTGGTTTTCCCACATCTTCTCCAACATTTATCATTTACTTGTTTTGTCATGTTAGCCATTCTAATAGGTGTGATTGTGGTACTTCAGAGTTGTTTTGATTTGCATTTCTCTAATCAATAGTGATTTAGAGCATTTTTTCACATCACTGTAGATAGCTTTAATTTCTTCCTCTGAAAACTGCCTATTCATATCCATAACCATTTGTCAGTTGTGTGGTGACTTGTAGTCTTATATATTTGACTCAGTTCTCTCTATATTTTAGAAATGAAGCCTTTATTAAAGACACTGGCTGTAAAAATTGTTTCCCAGCTTTCTGCTTCCCTTCTAATCTTGATTGCATTGGCTTTGTTTGTGCAAAAACTTTTCAATTTAATGTAATCAAAATCATCCATTTTGCATTTCATAATGCTCTCTGTCTCTTGTTTGGTCATCAGTTCTTCCCTTCTCTGTAGATGTAACAGCTAAACTATTCCTTGCTCACCTAGTTTGCTTATAGTATCAGCCTTTGTGTCTAAATCATGTACCCATTTTGACTTTATCTTGGTATAGAGTGTAAGATGTTGGTCTGTGCCTAGTTTCTGCCACACTGTTTTCCAGTTTTCCCAGCAGTTTTTGTTAGTGAGTTCTTATCCCAGAAGCAGGAGTCTTTGGGTTTATCAAATAGTAGATTGCTATAGTCATTGACTATTGTGTCTTGCTTACCTGACCTATTCCACTGACCCACCACTCTATTTCTTAGCCAGTACCAAGTAGTTTTGATGACTGCTGCTTTATAATACAATTGAAGATCTGGTACGGCTAGGCTACCTTCCCTTGCATTTCTTTTCATTAATTTCCTTGATATTCTGGACCTTTTGTTCTTCTAGATGAATTTTGTTATTGTTTTTTCTAGCTCTGTAGAATAATTTTTTGGTAGTTTGGTATGGCACTGAATAAGTAATTTAATTTAGGTAGAATTGTCATTTTTCTTGTATTAATTCAACCTATCCATGAGCAACTGATATTTTTCTAATTATTTATATCTGACTTTATTTGTGTGAAAAGTATTTTGTAATTGTGTTCATATAGCTCCTGGGTTTGTTTTGGCAGGTAGACTCCCAAATATTTTATGATGTCTACAGTAACTTTAAATGGAATTTCTCTTTCTATCTCTTGCTGTTGGGCTTTGTTGGTAATATATAGAAATACTGATGATTTTTGTGGGCTTATTTTATAGCCTGCAACTTTGCTAAAGCTGTTTATTATTTCAAGTAGTTTTTTCCTTTGTTCTGTTAAATATATCATCATATCATCTGCAAAGAGTGATAGCTTTGTTTCTTGTCTATTCTAATACCTTCAATTTCTTTTTCTTCTCTTATTGCTGAAGCTAACATTTCTATTACAATATTGAATAACTGGTGATAATGGACATCCTTGTTTCACCTCTGATCTTATACATTTATTTTTTTTAAAATAATTTTATTATGACCTGAAAGTCTTCTAATGCCTTACCCTGGTATACAAGTGAACCTGACGTCTAGAAGGCTGTGCCAGGGGAGCATAAGCTCAGGCAGCCCTTGAACACTTGATGCTTGGCACTATCTTGATGAGATTGGCGGCTGTGAGTAGCAGGCCAGGCCTGAGTTGAAGGATAGGTAGTTATGTTTTATACCTGAGGAAACAGAAATAGTTGAGTGTCTTTCTCTGACCTGGCAATATGTTGTGTCTGTTGTGTTAGGACCAGTCTGGCTAAGGTATGGAGAGGCTCTTTCTCAACAGGTTGACCGTAGATGATGATTTTTTTTTTAAACCACAGTTAGTCATGAAGACAGTCTGCCAAGGCATACATGGAGGAATCTGTTATACATTAGTGGAGGAACTACTACTTACAAAATCATGGATTCTTAAAGTATAAATAAGAACTTAAAACAAAAATACCTGATGTAAACAGAGAAGAACAGGAAATGCGTGTTTCAGTGGGGGAGGTATGTAGAGAGAAGGCCAATTTGGCTGAATCACAGAGTGGTGCCTGGTTGTGAAAGGCTTTGAATAATAAGCAGAGGAGTTTGAACTTATTCAGTAGGTAATAGGAAGGTCCTGGAAATTTTTACTCTTTTTTTTTTTGTCTCAGTGAACAGATATTTATTAAGTGCCTTCTATGTGTTAGGTACTGTGCAGAGTGCTAGCATGGTACAAAGAAAGGCAAAAGACAGTCCCTGCTCTCAGGGAGGTCACAGTGTAATGGGAGAGACAACATTCAAACAACTACGTACAAATTGTGTGTGTGTGTACATACATACACACATGTATATATGTATATGTAATAGAGAGATTGTACACACACACACACACACACACACACACACACACGATAAATTGGAGATAATCTCAGAGGGGAGGTCCTAGTACTAAGAAGAATCAGGAAGGGCTTTTTGTAGAAGGTGAGATTTTAGTTGGGGCTTGAAGGAAGCCAGGGAGGCAAGGAGATGGAGATGAGGAAGGAGAGAATTTTAAAATGCTCACTTGGGAGATGGAGTGTCCTGTGGGAGGAACAATAGGCTAGTGTCACTGGATCGCAAAGTGGAGGGAGTAAGATAGAAGATGGCTGGAAAGATAGGAACGCACCAGGTTGTGAAGGGCTTGGAATGCCAAGCAAGGTCTTGTCTTTGATACTGGAGATAAGAAGGAGCCACTGGGGTCTATTGAAAAGGAATCTTTATGGAGCATGGACAGGAGTGGGGAAGAGACTTGAGGCCAGGAGACCAGCCAGAACTCTTACAGTAATCCACGCATGAGGTGATGAGGGCCTGCACCAGAGTGGTGACACAGTCGCAGGAGAGCAGAGGGTCTATACAAGAGATGTCACAAAGGTAGAATGCACAGGACTTGGCAACTGATTGGATATGGGTAGGGACAAAGTAAGGAGTTGAGGATGACACTGAGAATGACACAAACATCTCCTGATCTTTGTCCATTCACATTTATGTAAGTGTCATTTAAAAATATTGCTTTTAATGTACTATATGCCCTTTCCACTGTACATTTGATTCCTACCAAAAGAGCAGTTTATACATGTAGACAAAATAATGAGAATTTAATCCAGACTAAAGCTTCATAAGAATTTTTTTTTTGATTGAGACAGGCAGGAGTGGGTGGGATTGGTGTTTTCCAGCTGGGAATATTTAAGGAGCACTGACTGCTTTAGGGATATAGCTTACATGAGAATGTCTTATTTTAAAATTACAAGGCTACATGACAGTCTTCACTTGATAGAGAATACAGCCCTGCCACACTTTAGTAGTTGGCCTTTGACAGACTGAAAAAAGTTCCTCACCTACTAGCCGACTTTCTGTTTCTGTGTCACTTCACAATTTAATTAGATTGGTCCTCTGAAGAGAGATCAATCACTAGGCCTATACTGTAAGCCTTTCCAACTTGGTCAGAATTGCCAGTACTTGAGTTCTGTTACCATAGCTTCTGAGAATTTGAAGATACCTATACATCACAGTCAAGTATGAATGAAGGAACAACTTTACAGTACAGTCTGAAAAACAGTCTGTCTCTTTTAAGCTCCTTTAGGGGAAAAAGATTTTAATTGCTATCTTTGGTTTATTACCTAGATTTCCCTCTGTACTCTAGCCTTCCCCCTCCCCACTTCTGGAGAGCTATCTCTTATAATAAAGAATTATTTTTAAATAAGAAAAAAAAGAAAGAAGAAAAAATTCCTTAAAACTGATCAGTGAGCAGGAAAAAATATGCCGTTAATGTTCAGTGTTTCACACCTGTAGACCCCCTAGTTCTGCAAAGAAATAGGAGGAGATTTTTTTTTCATATTTCATTTTTGGGGCCAAGCTTGTTCTTTGTAATTTTGTAGCATTCATTTTTGAATTGTGGTGGTTGTTATTTCTGTTTACATTGTTGTAGTCATTGCATATTTTTTTCTTGACTCTGCTTACTTCACTTTGCATCGGTTCATATAAGTCTTTTCATGCTTCTCTTCATCATACTAATCATT